ATAGATAGATAGATAGATAGAAAGATAGATAGATAGATAAATAGATAGATAGATAGATAGATGGATAGATGAATAGGTGGATAGATGGATAGATGGATAGATGGATAGATGATGATAGATGGATAGATGATGATAGATGTATAGATGATGATAGATGGATAGATGATGATAGATGGATAGATGGATAGATGGATAGATGGATAGATGGATAGATGGATAGATGGATAGATGGATGGATGGATGGATGGATAGATAGATAGATAGATAGGTAGATGCAAGCTAACACACATGGTGAAACTTAGCACGTAGGTACCGAGAGAGTCCAAGCAACCGTACAAGATATCAATGATATCAAGATATCAGTTCTCAAGTCCCCTTTTCTGAATAAACAAGAAACATCCAGAACTTCCAATTCAAAGCCTGAAAAAAGAGAAACCACACCACATGGGCAAACATGTTTCAAGGATTAATTTATATGTAAATTTTCCCAGGCAGAGGCAGACACACATCACGGCCAAGATGCTGTCAGATTGGGAACCATCGGAGCCTGCCGGAAAGGAGGAAGGGAGGATTCTGTCAGCTGGGAGGAAGAGTAGAAATATTAGGCATCATCAGCATGGGTGAGAGTTGAGCACCATTTCATGATTGATACTAAGAATGTTCTATAATGACCTCTGTAAATCGGTCGTGTATATATATAATTATATTTATTTATACTTTTATTTATTTATTTATTTATATTTTTATTTATTTTTTTATTTATGTATTTCTTCATTAATTATTGTTACTACATGTAAATATATATATATAAATATATATATATCTGTTCTTGGCTTCAAGCTGAATGATCTGGATGGTTTTCAAGACCGAAACCACCAATCAAAGCCAGCAAAACCAGCTGCAGGTTCCCCGCCTTCGGTTGGCCAGGTGGAAGTTGCAGGCTGCCGGCAGGAACCACCATACTGCCCGGCCGCAGCTGCGCATGCTGCGCATGCGGATGTTGCTGAGGAGACCCTGCCACCCGAGGCGGTAGAAGAGCGCTGCCACCTACAGGGACCACAGGACTCCACGGGCTGCGTGGTGACCAGCTGACCACGCGACAGGGGGGTGAGCCAATGCCTCCCGGGCTGCACAGCCCAGCCACAGTGCGCCCTGGGCTGGGCACAGGTAGTGGCATGGCAGGAGCTGGACCGCCAGGGGAGGAGATGGAAGGAGAGATGGCATGTGGCACCGGTGAAGGCGTGGATGGCATGGTGGGCGCCCAGGCACGTTGGGCCCAGGCTGGGATGGGAGACGCATTTGGGTAGGCTGCCTTGGCATCCAAGTGAGATCAAGGTCTGGTAATCGTGAAGTGATTTTGAAGGCGTTACATGAACATGTTCGAAGTTTTACCAGCATGCCAAACTTGTTATCGCCCAAACATCCAGAGAATCCCCAAACATCTTAGAAAGATCTGAACTAATCTGTTGACCAGGTGCTTAATCACCTCAAGGTCAGCTTGCAATCTGGGGAGGTAGCTAAGTGTTCCAAATGGAAAGTGTGTTTACAGCTTCGTTTAGCCCATGTTATTTTATAGACAGTGGCCCTTTCCTAGCAGAAAAGATATGGGTAGGGCCGAACATGATGCACCAATGAACCACAAACAGTTTTTAGGGCAACCATTTTGACTCATACCCATCTCTCCTTCATTTGCCTCATCTTCATGTCTTGCCTGGTGTACCACATTTATGGCCAAGAAAAAATGTAAATCGTCCTAGGCTGGGGAAACACGTATGGTCTACAGTTCTACAGGACGCGTTGGGAACCATACCTAGCTGGAGTTACTTCAGCCAAGTGATTTTACATAGAAAAATGTAGAACCGCATCACACCTCTGAGTCTCGTGCAGGCGATGGCGCCTTCCAAAGGGCAGGTAAAGACTCAGCGCGAAAGATCACGGGAGCCTGCCGGCATCCCATGGACCTCTGGGTTTGTGTTATCCCCGAACAAATGGAACCATTTGTATTTCCAGGATAGTATACAATGCATGGTATTTAACTTCCTATTTCATCTATTTCGAGATTTCCAATGATTCTATCTTTGGGGGGGGTGCCAAAACCTTACATTCTGAATTCTGACTGGTGGTTTTCAACCCTCATTGAAACAATTGTGATATCGATTCATTGGGGAAATCCAACTGTCAGGGGTCCTTCTAGGCCTCCTCAGCTGTCTTCCTGCCATTTCTGGCTGCAGTTTTGTAGTTTACTGGAGCGTAATCCCCAGACCATCAACCATCTCTCTCAAAAGATTTCAGGGCTCAGAGTTTATATCTGCACACCGTGATTTCATGCATCATCATGCATCACTATCATCACTTTAATGTGGGTTATACTGTTATACTTTATAGCCCATTGACAACTGAACCGGTAACCATGGTCAGCTCACCGCCTGCTGCGGTGCCAGCACCTTCCCAGCCATGCGTTGGTCCACTGCACGCGCCTGCGAAAACCCATCGATTAGGGGGCCCATATGTATTTAACGAGTGGAGGAGATAGGAATATTTGACGTGAAATTTCGGAAATACCTATATCTATCCGGCTAGCTACGGTATCTACCTATCATCTATCTATGTATCACTATGTATCCACCTATATATCTACGCAGAGCTTTTCAATGGATACATGTCATTTGGTGGTCAGATCATGTTCGATCTCCATCCTATCCCATTTCGAAATGTCCCGAAGGTCCTGTGAATGTTGACACATTGGTTAGTTTCAAGTCATCCCGAAAAATGTCAGGCACTTGGGATCTTCACAAAGGATGAACAGTATATATGTCATTTGCCCATTGTTGTAGCACATGTTTTGTGGTTCACTATGCTTCAACAATGGGTCCTACCATGTGCTGGAGATACATGAAGACTTCAGGTTCCATGTGCAGAATGTTCAGCATCAAGGCTCCCAATCTATCCCAATCTGGTGTTTGGAGATTTCATGGTGGTGCCCCAGGCGTTTGAAGAAACAAGTTGGATTGAATTGAATCTGGTATAATCTGGTAGTCAGCTAGAAGAAGTCAACCCTTGCCCAGAAACAAAACCTGGCGCACAGCCTGGATTGGCCACAGAATAAGCTGATCCAATCAGTTCCTGAACCCCCCCCGGGTTGCTACCTCCAACTCCGTAACGCGAGTGTTCCACCTCCACGTTTCAAAGCAGGTTGAATTGATGGACATGTTTAAGGGAAAACCCTGTGTTATGTCGGAGGTAAAAACCCAGGGTTTCAACAGGTTGTGTTTCATTTGGAAACCAAACTAAAGTAACTAAAGAAGTATTTCAGGTCCAAACATATGACCCTTCTTTAAAAACAAATGAACGCTCCTCGCATGTCACTGTTCCCTGGAAGTGGCTGCCAGTCTCCCCAGCAATAACCTCCACACACAAAGCGGCAATCTCCAGAATTCCAGTCAGAAAACCTGATAGATTTCCCGCCTATGGAAATCGTTCCTTGCAAAGCATCTGCCACACATTTAACATTTGCACATATCCAAAGAGATGTACAAATGCAGGTATATAAGCATATATATATATATATACATAGACAATCAAGGAAAAAAATAGTAATCCCCAAACAGATAGACAAGTGATTTACCACCACTATTTTTGCAATTTAGTCGGGCTTTACAATGTACCAAGGTACGTAGTGACTTCACCTCGCATCTCCTGCACCATGGAGATGACACCAGGTTTTTAGCAATCCCAAAATAGATGCCGAAAAGTGTGACACCTGGAAAATCCTATATAATATGTCTTGGAACATATCATGATATGATATATATATATAATATTTCTTGGAAACACTGTTCAACCTTTTTGGGGGTGCTATAGCCCTTGGTGTCCTCAAACATGGCTGGCCGCTCGGAACTCACCGAACAAAATTGGCGTTTAAATGCATTTTGATGGGACAATCATTGAACTAAATGGGGAATCTTCAAGTTCCAGCAGGCCATGTTTGATTGCCAGAGGGCCGCTGGAAGGTAACCATGGGTAACTTATCATTGGGTTCATGTCATCTTGATGATATCTTGTGATATCCTGTGTGTGTGTACTTGTATGTATATATATATATATATATATGTGCGCGTGTGTACCATATATATATATGCATATGTGTGTATACATGATATATATATATATATATTTGTATATATATATATATATGTGTGTGTGTGCACATAGTATATACATATATATATATAATATGTGTGTATATGTGGAAGGACACTGGAGAAAAAACACGTTTGACTACTGGAAACAAAATAAGGTTCACCCCTACTCTCCACACTGGAAAAAAAAGCTTAAGAATCTGTACTTTGAACTTTTTTGCAGCTGAAAGCCCTTATTTGATCTTATTTGTACAATATGTACAGGGTTTTGGAACTTAATTATGCAATTTGCATGGTATTTAAAGCGTTTTGGCCTTGAATCCTTTGTTTGCACCGTGCTCGAAGCATCATGGAGCCAGCATCTGTACTACGCAGGGGATTATCTGCAGCATTTCGTGTTATTTGCAACATATTGTGTAGAGTTAGTTTTTGGATCTATTTCAGGTTGGCTAGGGCGTATTTGGGAGATCAAAGGATGAGAAGGGTAAAGGACCAGGATGAGGAGGGTAAGGGACCAGGGGATCAAGAGGACCCAGGGACCAGGGGACCCAGGGACCAGGGGACCAACGGATCAGGGGAACCTGAAATATTTTTTCCGGTAAATTTATTTATTTTTCCAGGGTCTTAGATTTTTTCCAGGAAACATCTATTTTTGTTTCCAGTATCATCTCTGTATATGTCCCCAGGTGTAACAGTGTAACCCTCCCGGTTCCCCAGGATGAAAACGTCTCCCCAGCTCCTGCTGCTGTTTCAGAATCCCAGTCAGCTCCGCCTTCCGCCTCGGCTCCAAGGGATTCCAGGATCCCAGGAGGATCAGCAGAAACATCCCAGAAAAATTGCTGAATGATGCTGGATGATGCTGGATGTTTGAGACAAAAACTACCAGAAACTGGACACCCGGTGAAGCATGGGACACAATTCAAATAATTGGTCCTAGAGTTTCCCTCGCCCAATGCGTTGTTAAAACAACCAATTCTCCTTGCACCTCAAGGCCTCACTCGATTAGGGAACGCACTCATCAATTGTTTCAACCAGCGCACCTCAAAGCGTTGCGTTGCGCCGCAATGGATGGTGGAATTTACAGCAAACACCCATGTGACAAACACGTGGGGCTACCACTCAAAAATAGCATCGGTGGGAACTAGATGGAATTAGCAGCATTTGCTGACATCTATGGATCACCTTTGGCTGGTGGTCACTCAGCGACTCGATGGTTCCTGCCAGGTCCATCATGGAAATATAGTAAATCAGACTTTGCACAGGCTATCATGTGACCAAGGTAAGTTCGACATAAAACTGGTATAGCAACTGAGACATAGAAAAAGAATCACTGACAATGACACATCTTGATCCACAATATTTACCCCTTCACTAATATCAAACACCCCCCTTAAAACGATGGTTGGTATTGGATAGGGTTCCTCATTATTGGGCATTGGGGGTATTTAATGTTGGGGGAACATGGCGGAACTGGATTACACAGATATCCTTTAGTCATAATTACACATATGCATACATATGCATTATTGCAACTTTATCAGGGAAAGCCTCTGGGCCCATCCAATTCCATCACCAAATACCGACCAACTCCGGCCCCTACTTGGCACTTTTGTTTTTTTGGCAGGCAAACCATGGCCATAGTATAGTACCAGTTAGTAACGTATGCACATCCTACTCACTTTGTCCAAGGACCTTGCTTATCCATTTCTGAATTGTGGTTTGAATATGGTTCAAATCGTTTTCAATCCATCAATCCGAGTGGCTGGCAAGTAGAAAGTACGTGAGACCAAGAAATACCAAGAACCAGGTGTCTATTGCAAATTGTGGGCCACGGAGTATCCTTCCCAAACTAGGCTTCGAGCTCACTTCTTCTCTCATATCTGCCAACTGCGACTGCCTGGACAAACAGAAGTCACTGCTGACAGTACCCCGTTGGCCCCTCAGTAGGTTCAGCATCATGCTAAAGACTTGTAGAATGTTCCATCGTCCCATTGCTAAATGCCCTGGTTGACACACAAAGAGTAATGCCAAGGCTTTGTAAGTACGAGTCAATCCGCCCGTAGGAAACTATGACATCCATTGCACAATCTTTGCTTAGAGTGACTTTGTGCAGAGTGACTTATGAGATCGGGCATAGGGATCGTTGACGCAACATGACGACCAGCAAATCTGACAGTTCACTGGCTTCATTTATGGCTTGTGGTTTCAAGCCTGAGACATGCAACATTGGGGATCATCCCGGGTTGAGGGATTGAACCTAATCCCTTCCTGATAATATCAAATACCCCCAAGAATTCCCGGTTTCATATTGAATCCATTCATTTTGGGAGCCCATATGGATCCATATGGATGGTATTTAAATGTATTTCATACAGCCCAGGGGCAGCTTTCTCATTTCTTGCCCCTGAGGCATAACTCCCTTGGTCTCTGTCCTCAGTGGAACGTGGCGATCGCTCTGGGAAATCTGTGCATCTAATGAATCTATAATGCATAGATTCCATGCAGAGTATATAGGTGGTAATTATTTTAAAATGGTGGTTATGTGATGTTATATGGTTGATGTTGGCTGTCATCTCTTGCTCGCTCCACGTCTCTGCTGGTCACATCCAAATTTAGCATCATTTAGCTCCATGTGTTTGACGTGGCGGCCTAGTTTGGTTTGCGTCGAGTTTAATTTGGTTATTATTTGGTTATTATGCATACATACTATACATACATAAATATATATATAATATACTGTATTAAAAAATATAATTATTCATTATATATTATATTATATTATATTATATCATATTGTATTATATTATATTATATTATATATATACTGTACACATTTCCATGTGGTTGGATCTGGTTGGTGGAAAAAACCTCACCAAACATAGACACTGGGCTTTCGACAATTTGAAGCCACCCCTTGGTTGTCAACTACCCATCAACAGGATTCAACAGGACCATGGACGCTGATGTCCTCATTGTACCAGGTTCACCCCGAAGGCCGCCAAAGCACCGACTTTGGCTCCCATTGATCCTGCTGCGCTCACGCCACATCTGCCGCCTGGGACTGGACGGCTGGAAATTACAGCACTATCAGCTCTTTGGAATCCTTGATCCTTTGGTATCCCGTTTTCCTGGCATTTCCGAGAGAGAATCATTATACAGCAAACAAATGTGGCCGTTTCCGTGGTGCTTTTCAGTAGTGTAATGGTCTCGGCGAGAAAAAACGCACACACACACAGATATATATATATATATATTAATTACAAATTATATTATATATATATATTCCCGTGGGCAAGGACACAACTGTAGTCACCAAACATCATCAAAATGAACTGTGCGAAAACAGGATCTATTATAAGAACATATTATGGATACAAATGGGCCGATCACTCAACCAACAATAATCAGGAATGATCAGGATGTATGATCTATTTTCATGCTATATGATATATGACCTAATGTAAAATATAATGCAATATAGCATAATATAATACGAGTACAATACAAATAGGTAGTACCCAGACAAATCAAGAAAAATAATGATATCATTTCAAGATTACCACTGGCGGAGCCTGGCAGGTTTGGGGAGCCCCCGGGATCGGCCTTGCAACCCGAAGCACGGTGCTTCGACATTCGGCCTCCTCTTCCTCCTCCTCCTGGAGTGAGGCTGGAGCATCGGAAAAGGTCAACAAATTGTGCAAATTGCCTAAATAACCTGAATGAATCGGGGATTTAGGAAGATTTAGAATTCTAAATCACCTAAATAACCACAAATTCTACCGTTTTTCTTCTGTCGTCTATTGTCGTCTATTGTCATCTTGCATCAATGGGGACTCCAAGAATTCGACGCTTTGATACCTACTGCGCTTGACAATCCGCTTTGGGATCTCAGGAGTTTACTTCATTCAATGATATGACGATTGCATTCTTTAATATTCCTTATATATTCTCAAAAAAACAAAGACTTGGTAATCAAAAGCCTGGCTTAGACCCTTGAACCATGCCAAGGACAATTGAGTGGGCCTGAGCCTTCCTACCCATGCTCAAGGAACGGATGGTGTAACACATAGTCTACACAAAAGAGATGCATCAAAAAAGTGCAAGCCCCGACCAGCGCTTCTGAATTGATGGACTTATTGAACAATCATAAAGAATCTACCAATTGAACCAATTGGTTCATCAACAGATTCAGTGTTACTTGTCCTATACCCATTGTTGTTGCTTTACCCCCCAATCTATTGATAGGATCTAATGTGCCAAAACCCAGAAAATAAAAGATGCGCATGATATTAAAAGACATTAAAAGACAGGGTTTGGACATTTCATGCGATACCAAGAAACAAAACACAAACAACATGTCCGTCTCCAATAACGGGCTTTACTTTTGATTCTATCCGGAAAAAAACAACGGCCAGTCCGTCGTTTGACGTGTGTCGCATGTATTCGCATGTCAGGCATGTCCTGGTGTCGTCGCAGGGCCTTTTCTGGATCTGCGCAATCCAAAGGACCTGGACGGTGCAGCCCCAAGAATGGCATAGTATGGCATTCAATCAGCTAATCTAAGCGGCTAATCATAGCTAATCATAGCTAATCATACCTAATCATAGCTAATCTATAACAATCATCCTGGTTTAAGGACATCCTGCCTGAATTTCCTGCTCAGATCACTGGGACCCCCGCTGAGGAGCCATGACAGCAGCTCGGAATATTCAGACATCGCCTGGCTGCTGTCAGCAGTAGCCACTACGATGTGCTGACCGAAATTTGAATCCAAGCACCGTCCTGAGATGTCCTGAGAAAATATCACATGCTAATGCATGCCAGATATATAATTCCAACTTAACCCGCCTCAACAAAAAAAACTCAAATGTACCTCGTGGGTAAGCTTGGCTATATACGACCTGGTGATCTTAAGTCTCCCAACTGTTTTTTTTCATTGGTTATCCACCTGTTAGTTGAGGATGATCGAAACTCCCAAAAATGCAACATCGTCAAACACCGTCCCCAAATAATTGGTAGGTTAATGTACTGTAGGTATCTGTAGATTAGCATCTGGTAATCCAGCTTGCGAAGAAGAAATTGCTCACTTGCAAATGATCTTCCTACTGAAATGACGGATTTCCCATTATCAAATTTAATTAAGAGAGAGAGAGAGAGAGACAGCTTCAGCAAATCCAAGCAACTTGGCCATTGCTCTCACAGGTTCAATGGGAGTCCAATGGATCATGTGGGGGTCACTGAAAACTGAGGACCCCCAAACTCCCAAACCATTGGCTTTCCAAAAGAAAACATGTGTTTCAGATGATGTTGGGGACTTAATCTTAGGAACTCCAAGTGATATGAGATTATCATTCATTGTTGCCTGTATCCCCGTAACACTCCATGAGCGTTGAATGATTCAATAATACGTCTCGTACATCATCCATACTAATAACTAATAACCAACAAGATCCGTTAATAACTTTTAATAACCATCAATATCCATCATAACAACTGCTATGAATCATAATATTTGGCCAGTTTATCCACCAAATATCCCTATTTTGCCACCTGATGTCTAGGAATTGTCCCTGGCTGGCCTCTTCCTTGAACCGCTCCAGGGCGGCAGGCTCAAAGAAGGTCTCTGGCGGCATCAGGGGCACCTGTTGACAGCTGACCCAAAGGTAGGGAACAAGAAAAACAACGGATTTATGGTGATTAATGGTGATTAATTGTGATTCATGATGATTGATGATGATTAATGGTGAATGGTGATTAAATAATGGTGTTTAATTGTGATTGCATAATTTCATGTACCCATTTATATACAGTATGGTGATTAATCTATGTAATAGGGACTTAACCAACAACATTTGGGATAATATGGGAATACCCTCCAGACATGCTTGGAAAACTCCTAATTTTCCACATCGATGACTTTCCCAGCTCTAAACACTGGAGGCTACCATTGTGGCATTACGAGGATTAAGCCATGACTATAGTGACTATAGCCATTGATCATTGCCAATCTCAGATTTCCATAGATTTCCTGCATTGTTTCCTATTGACCTGGTTGGTACATGATTTATATTATAGTACATTTAATGTACATTTATAGCCATCCAAACTTTATCCGGTTGTAGGATAGGTCGTCGTAGCTCATCCCCATACATCTCCAATCATCTCCACTGCAATACCTGCAGCCCCAAGGGCCTCATAAAAAACGGCCTCGGGGATCTTCGACATTGGGCTCCGGCCTGTTATGACGGCTCAGGTCCAGCAAACGGCTGGCAACGTAACAGGATGGTAAGCAAAGTCAATTCTAAAGGCGAAACATAGAGATTTAATGAGATTTATGAGTATGTGAGCACCATGGACCATGACGAGCATTCAAGTAAAAATGAACAAATATGATCAACTATATATGTTACAGCAAATGCAGGTCCTGACCACAGCCCAAATGCCCCAGTACTATCCAGTACTGGTATTTGCCAAACTTCATCAGCTGGGATGTGTTGGGTTTGCTCAGAAGCATGTTTTGGTGAGTTCTCAATCTATGTCTTCGTCAAAAATCACTCAAAAGTCACCAGAAATTCATGGAAAACCGGAAAGCCCATTGAAATCCATGACAATTCCCTGGAAAACGATGAAAATTGGTGGTGTTTCTACCAGTTTTACCATGGGTTTTCCATAAATTCCCATGGGAAGTTCATCGGCATCGCCCGCCTTGGGAGGTCGGAGATCCCGGCACCAGGACCGTCTCCGACGGCAATGGCACCTCTGTCGGCTCGATGTCCGCTGCCTGGGGGTTCTGTTCTAAATGGATCACCCAAATTATTGGGGTACAAAAAAGGGAAAAACCATTTGTTAAACAAAAAGTAAGTTTGTTTTTTTCAAATGGGATTTATATACTTATTAATTACTCAAATGTATCAATTACTCAAATGTATCACCAAACTTGCGCAATGATTACCAAAGTTCAACGGGAAAAACACGAGTTAGACCATGATCTCACCAGGAAAATTTATGAAAATTTGGGATGTCATCTTGGCCAAACTTGGAGCAGCAGGAAAACTTGCAAACATAGAGGATATCACCAGTGGACATGTTGATTTCACCAGCTAAAGTGGTGATTTGTTGCTAGGGAAAATAGGATAAATCCATATAAATCCTGCAGGATACAAACGGGATCTAGGTATGAAAACTAGGTTATTGAAATTGAACCTGGGGTTCAACCATGATTCACCGTTTGACCATGTTTGACCACTAAACTAAAAATTGCATAAAATTGCGATATCACCAGGAACAAATGAAAAACAAGTACTTCACTTGGCTTCCCAATATAACTGGGTAAACAGCTACCCTTCAATTTACACTCATTGGGTTTGATTGAAGAACATCTTACGACTTATGGGAACCCCAATGCATTACAGTCAGACTTGCATCGGGTATCCATGGGTATCCATGGGTATCCTGTGTTTTTGTTCTGTTCATCCAAGCCTGGGTGTGAACAGAAGAGTTCACCAGGTGGATTGAAAGGAAAACACATGGAGGAGACATCTGAGATTCGGAGCAGATTGATAAAACAGATTTGACCAACATTGCGAAACATATGCAACGAATATATATATATATATCTATAAATCATTATAAATCTATGGTGTGATAGATTGGCTGACCAGAGAATAACGCAAATCAAACCCAACAAAGACATATACACTGTTCAGTGATGGGGGTGTTTGTGCCACGCTTTCTGCAACAATCTGCAACCCATTCAGAATTATTGTGTGCAGCACATTCTTTTCTCACGATCGCCAAGCAGTTGGCTTTGCCATGAGACATCTTGTCTCGCCTGAAAACATCTGAGGTTCTAGCTCTGAACCTCCTTTGTTATCCTTATTGATTCCTCATGGTAGAGGATTTCTTTAGCATATGGCCGCATGGTAGCGGGTAGAAATTTCTGATCCCCTGGTAGGGATAAAAACACCTCAACTTCAAGGTTTACAACAACCAAGCTCCTGCACGGCAAAAGGAAAGAAATCCTGCCAGCATTCAAATCCGTCCCAAAATAGGGGGGGAGCTGGAGGGTAGTTGCTTTGAACCTGAAGAGGGGCACGGCGATCTAAACTTAGAATGGCTTTACACAAAACGTTCAAAGAACTCACTTGTGTGCAGCACATTCTTTTCTCACGATCGCCAAGCAGTTGGCTTTGCCATGAGACATCTTGTCTCGCCTGAAAACATCTGAGGTTCTAGCTCTGAACCTCCTTTGTTATCCTTATTGATTCCTCATGGTAGAGGATTTCTTTAGCATATGGCCGCATGGTAGCGGGTAGAAATTTCTGATCCCCTGGTAGGGATAAAAACACCTCAACTTCAAGGTTTACAACAACCAAGCTCCTGCACGGCAAAAGGAAAGAAATCCTGCCAGCATTCAAATCCGTCCACGCACCCCAACGAAGAGTCCATGTTTACTGGGAAGCAGTAAACGTTGCTAAATTAAAGGTACGTAAAAAAAGCTTAGTGTGCTCTGACAGTTTGATTGAAGGGATGAAACTCAGGCCGTCGCTGATATAAAGACGCGCCACCCGGGAGGATTCCCAGCGTCCTCTGATCAGCGCCATTTCCATGCTTTTGCTCTCTTGAAATAAAGCTGTAGCCCCACCCCGTCTGAGGCTATAGGGACGAAAATTGAATTGTTGAAGGCCCATCAGATCACACAAAGTTTTGAAACGACAGCGAAATTTAGCTGCAGTTTGAGACCAAATGGGAAGAGCAGTGGTACCCAGGTCTTGCCGTAATAAAACCATGAAACGCAAAAACTCAAGCACTATAGGGTCAGTGACACTAATGGCCTCATCCGCATTGTGACGAATGCCAGTTTTAGTTCCCTTCAGGGAAATAACAGCAGCGTCTGCACCTAAGGCGATATCCGCAACTGTCAGTGATAAAAGTTCACCCGTTCGAAGCAAGCAATGAAAGCTGACCAGAAGAAGAACTGCCATTTCATAGTTCTCCTGTTCCCATTCATAGGATGCCATGCTCCCAACCAGTGACCATGTAAGAGGTGGTGCCCTTGCCGGCACTTCTATCTTTCGCCAGACTGCAAACAGTTTCCAGCTATGGGGGATCTTTCGACGTGTCCAAGGTTGAAAGAAGTGAAGAGCACTCAGTCCATCTCCAATAGTTAAAAGGGGTTCTCCTGAGCGCCACATTTTTCTGATCCATTGACAAAGTAGAACATCTAAATGGTCCTCGCTTTTAGCGAGTTCGACAAAGCGAACCATCTTTTTCAATGCCCCATAGTAACGAACCTGTGTTTTGTATGTCAACGCTGCATCATCCAAATGTATATGCGCTCGTTGGCGCCTGCGTTCCGCCCGGCTGAAGCGGCCAGCGAGCAGTCGCGGCCTCTTTGGCACGTGATCCCGCATCCGAGGGATTCTCACGAGAATCCACGTGTGCAACAACTAGTTGCAACCCATAGGCAAGCAAGTGTGCTGACAACTTGTTTAACACTCTCTGTAATTGCTTGCTGCTGCTACGACCCTTACTAGCAACACTCATACAAATATATGAATCAGTCAACTGAAAGATTCGCATGTCATGAGCTTTGAACCGCTGGATCTGAAACCTAACACCCAAGAGTAATGTTTCCAACTCCAGAACATTGATATGGCTGCGTTGCTTCCATGTTGTAGTATAACCTTTTGACCAGGTCCACCAAGAAGCTGACACCGAATGGCGAGGGAATGCCTTATTATTAAAAATCTCTCCAGAGATGACCCTAACATCAGAGCCAGTGTGATTGGTACGCCGTAGCAATAATCGATTCATCAAAGCCATCCCCGAATCCAAAACATTTCCATCCCCTGAAAGTGAACCATAACAAAGCTTCTGCTGAAGTGGTGCAATACTGCGGAGGTGACTGCAAAAACCCGGTGCCATACCCATTCTGTTGCTTAAGTGCTGATAAGTCAACTGGGGCAGAAATCTCCGACAACATGCAACCGCCAATACCACAAAAGAGAAACAGCTGAAACAATCCCCCAATAATTTATGTCTACAGTCAGAAAAACCAACAGGGTTTTGCTTTGCCTTCCCCGCACTCCATGCAACTGCTGTATGATTGTATCCGTATCCCAACAGTAATTCTTTTTCTGTTGCGTTCAAGAGCCGCCAAGTATGTTCAGAGGTGATAAGAAACTTCTCATCATATTGGTATGGTGGGTACCTGAAGCTGTCTGAACGCCATCTCTGTCTCGTTCCTTCGTCTGCTTTCTCAAGTCCTGCTGGTCTAGGAGGTGGTCTATCCCGCGGTATACTTTTCAAACAAGTGGGAAAAATTGCACCCCATTGTTCCCCCTTCCAAGTATAACCAGGTGTGAGCCACTGTTCAGTAAGGGGATAGTCTGCTGGGGCTGAAACCTCTTTCCAATACCGCTGATTAGAAACTGAAACATCCGGCAACACACTTTCCAGCGCTTCTGATGTCCAAGTAAACCGGGGGCGCCTCATGGGCACCGCATCGGCACAGTCAAGTTTGTATGGTATACTCTCCATGTAACCTGAAATCTCCCTGGCAGCGCCTTCATCCATTGAAGCCACGTTTTCTAAGACGTGTTTGACCGTGACATGACTTCCAAATTCTTCTTCCAATAAACTTCGAATTCTGGGGATCTCCCAAAACAAACTGCTTTGAGGACCTGCTAGATTCTGTCGATTGTGCTTGACTGAAGAAAGATCTACACACGGCCAGCCTCCCCACAAGTGCACTTCTTCCACGCCTAAATATTTCATGCTCCAGCTTCGCACCAACTCCCTGGATACATCCTTCACATCTTTGACTACCGTAGTCCCAGGCCAACAATGCAACGTGACTCTGTTTGCTGCATCATCCAATTCAACTGCTATGCGCGCCATTGGATTGATTCCAATCAAGTCATAACATCGAAAACATCCTCCAATGCCATTGAAGAGGCTAACCAAAAGGATTGGAGCCACCGTTTGGCCCCTACTTCGATCCAGCTTCTCACACGCCTGGACAAAATCACACCCGATATCCGTCAGGCTGCTGCTCACATCAATTGATCCCCCTTTTTCTGAGGCATCCGTGCACACCATTTGTGGACAGATCTTCGCCCTAAGATTGCAGTGTAAGAGAGGGCTCAAAAATACCAGTGATAAAAACTCCGCCTTCACCATCTTTCGCAAGTTTTCTCCCATTGATGATTTACCTCCAATGAAATCCCAAGTCTTTTGCAAACAACTCATAGCCGGGCGCCTGAATTGCAAAATGAAAACCCATCTGCCTGCCATAATTTGGACTAACTTCCTATCCAGAAAACGTTGAGCCACCATCCACAACGTACCATGAATAACTTGCAACAGCTTAGATGTAGAAACTCCCAGTGTGCCGAGGTCACCACCCACTTCTGCCCCCAGCTCTGTCACTCGCTTTGCAGATGCTATTCGCTTTTTGTCAGATGAAACTACCCCTGCTGCCCTCCAAGCTTCTTCTGCAGCCCGGTGACACAAAACCGCACTGACCCCGGCATCCGATGGCATAATTCTTTCTCCACCAGCGAAATTGTCCAGGCAAACGTGCCACCAATGTTTATCAGTATCGCGCACATGATCCAGAATACTATTCATCCATGGCGGAAGTGTGGCCCCCCTGGAAATTCGATGTTCAACAGAAAGATGGCTAATTGAAAGTAGTCGTTCAGAGATTTCCTGCATAACTCCTACCGAGTTCAACCAACCCATGGGAATAACAGAACACGCCAGTGCAAACCATTGTTCGTTAGGAATCCCAATCGAAGTCCCTTGTGCCAAAATATTGAAAGCAAGATGACGTTGCCATTGAGGGGGGATTCGAAACAGATAAAAAGCGCTACACATTTCACTTTGGTGCAATGTCAACTGCTCCTCACCGTCCAGAACAATGCTCTGCCAGGCACAAATATTTGGAAGTGAGTTGCAGCCCCCCTCAAGCTGAATCTGCGTTGCGTTAGACCCAGTTAGATTCATAATGACTCTTAAAATGGGTCTTCCATCAGCCAAAACATTTGGTTTGCTCACCCCAAACATGCCGTTTAAAATTGCAGTACCATTAACTTTGTAAACTTTCTCCAGTGGAATCCAGGTGCAAACGTTTCTCCTCACCAGTTCAGAGGCAATTCTCATCTTATCATCTTCCTTAATATGAACTCGCCCGGGAAGTTTGGGAAGGTCAACCTCTTCGGGTTCCTTTAACAACAGTTTAGGATTGCAAAGAAATTCCCTTGTTCGGGGACCAACCCAATCCAAACTATTAATACAACCTCCATGTTCCGCAGGTGGCAGGGCAGGTAGGACCTGCTCCCAGGTTAGTTCATGACATGTTGATAACTCTTCCCCATTGTATCCCACACGCTTGCTATAGACCTCTTTTTGCCACTTCTCTTCCTCTGGTTGAAGCTCCGCAACATCCACAGCGCATCGGCGTCTTGCCGCAGCTACTATGGAATCAAAAGCGGATCGCTCGGCAGCGCTCCAGCGACCAGGCTTCAATCGAGCGTCGTGTCCAGCCAAACGGTTCAACGCTCCCATGGTTAGGTAGGCCCACGCCTTACTGCCCCATAGATTTGCCACGCTCTCGACGGCTATGTCAGCCAGAGAGTAACCTGCAAAGATCTGCTCAAGTTCCTGAAGCTCCCCCAAACGTAGAGGAAAAGTCACTCCGCGGCGTTGCGCACTGGATGACTTGTGCTTGGCGAATTCCTGCAACCAAGGTTGTGTAAATTCTTTTACTATACCATCAAGAAAAGAAGCTGTATGCCCAGTGATAAGCCACCATGCCAATACCACACCTGTCTTTACGAAAGAGCGGCACTCTTTGATAGCCTCCTTTAAGGATTCAACACTGAGGTCGACTGTAAGCCTCTCACCTGACGATATGGGCCGCACGGCGTATGCCAGCGCCTTGCCATCAAGCTTCCATCTCTTCACTTCTCTGGAACTCTCTCCTTGTTCTTGGCGTCCACATCCTTCTCCTGTCCTTGCCATCCCTTTGACTTTCCTTTTCCTTTGTTGCCCTTCTTGCCTCGGCCTTTGCCTTCTTGGCCATAGTCTTGCCAAGCGGAGCCTTTGCCCCTTCCTCCTCCTCGTCCTTTTGCTCCTTGCGTCCACCCCCAGTTGTCTCCTGGGGAAAGCTTTGCTGCTAGCCGGGCCTGCTTTCGGGCATTCAGGATGATCTCTGGCCCTGCTGCTGTGCCCTCCTCTAAGGGCATCATCTCCAAATGACGGGCTGTCGTCCATGACCCGTCTATCACCGATTGGTGAATGGAGATGAATCGGGATGCCAAAACATCCCCCATCACATCCAAGTCCCCCTGTCGCAAAAGGTCTATGACCTGCGCCAGGTGATGAAGCTCCCTGGCTTGGGCCATGGAGTTCCCAATTTGGCTCCTCACCACTATCGCGAAGTAGCTCGACATCTTCACTCCTTGGGTCATGGAACTCAAGCTGCCGGACTCCACACTGACCTTCGCGGACTGATCGAGCTTCGACCGTGCATGCTCCAGGAGCATGGCCAGAACTGACCCTGGTTTCTCCTTCGACTTGCGCTTCAGGGGCGCCTCGAGGCGCTTGCCATCGCTCTCCGAGGACTCCTCCTCCGAGCCCCCGTTGGAGCTCCCGTCGGAAGTCCCCGTCGGAGAGCTCCCCGGTGAACTGCCAGGGTGACCTGTACCCTTCTTCTTCCTCCTGCCATTCTTCTCCTTCTTTTGTTTCTTCTCCTTCTTCCCAAAGGGGGTCAGGTCCAGGCCATCCTCCTTGTCGGGGCGTCGATCGCGTCCACTCGCCAAGTTGGTAAGGATCTTGGCAAGCTGGAACCCAGGATTCTTCTTCTGCTTTCTCTTCTTGTCTTCTCGGGCTTTGTCCCGTTTTGCAGCTGCAGTCTCCTTTGCCTTCATAACCAACTGGGTCTGCCAACTGGCTGTAATAGAATCTCTTGTAGCCTCCTCTTGCTTCTTCTTTTTCTTCTTTTTCTTCTGTCTCTTGGCCTCTGAGGAGGATTCCACCAGCTGTTCCTCTGTGTCCTTCACCTTTCTCTTCCTCTCTTTCTTCTTCTTCTTGCCTTGGTCCACCAGAGCTCTCTGTTGTTCCTGATGTGCCGCCTCCTCCAACTCCAATGGGCAACCCTCGAAGCCCTCTGAGGGTGAATAACCTGGACTTGAAGAGTGCTTGGACAGCTCCTCCTCCTCGGGCCCGGCACCCGGCTTGGCATCCCCAGGTGCCGGTATCTTTGTATTCATCATCTTCGCTCGGGCGGCCTCCAAACGTTCTCTTAATCTGGCCTTCTCGTCTGCACCCATCTTGTCTGGCTTTTCCTTCTTCTTCTCTGCAGGCCCTTCTGGGGCCGGTGTCAAGCGCGCCTTTCTGCCGGAAACCAAAGGTGTTCCATGGGGCTCCTCTCGTTGCTCGTCCTCCTTGCCAACACCTTTGTCGACGTCTCGACGGGGAATCCCAGAGACATCCAATGCGGAATCGTCCAAGTCGTCTGGTTCGTCTCGCTCCCACTTTGACACCTGTCGCTTGACATAGTGAGTCATGTATGGACGTTCGAAACCTTCCACACTGTAGACCTTCAAGCGGGTGACATGCAGGGCGACGTCCTCCTCTAAAACACATTCTTTGTCGGTGCACAAGTGTATCCTCCCAACACGCCGGTTGAACAAGTTGGAAAAATATTTGACCCAGTCCTGATGTGAGCAACCAAGGCTTTTCACCACGCACGCATAATCTCCTGTGCCAAGAATCAGTACCTGCTTTATCCAGAAACCTGCCCAAATGTCTGGTGGTCCATGCACATGCAAGTTGGGGCAACTCGGAAGATGCACCTCGATAATTTCTCCTCTTGACAAAATCATTCCTTCCCATTCTTTTGGCTCCTCAAGGGAATATTCGGTACCTTCCAAATACATCTCAACGACCACGACTGCCAGGCCTGGGGCCAGCAAAGGGTCTGTCGCTCTCCCAAAAACTAGCTGGGGGACGACGATGAACTCGGAGCAATGGATCGTCTAACTGCCTGAATGTACGCTGATGTTTTGATCCTCCTCTGCTACCTCGTCTATGCTCTCCTTTTCGTTTCTTTTTACCTGAGCGACCTTGTTCCTTGTGTCCAGGAGTGATGACTTCTTGGAAGCTCTGGCCTCTCTTGATGAACTTGTTCTGGACGCGGTGGATGAGCTGGCTCCGGGGGCCTACGTGAAGGGTCTCGTTTGGGACAAGCACCTGTGACCTCCTCGTCGTTTGCCTTCTCTTCCTCTTCCTCTTCCTCAGAATCTTCTTCTGAGCTCTCCTCCTGTACCTTTACTCTGTCTGGTGGAGGTGGAGGAGTTGGCAGCCGACTTCTGCTGCGCTCAGGTGACTTGGGAGCTCGGGCTGGCAACGAAGAGACTTCAGACTGACGTGCCTCCACAGCAGCTCGACTTTTGTCAGCGCTATGGCAACTGCTCGAGAGATTTCTCAGCGTTCGCACGGTGCGTACCGCACTGACGATCACGTCGTGAGCTGCCACTCGAAAGGCGGAGTGCTTCCAGCTAGCACACAGCTCGGTCTGCAAAGTCTCGAGGCCCGAGCAACCCAAACACCAGCTATCTTGGTCCCAAGGAGCGGTTTGCCTACACTTGTTACAAGACATCTAGTTGCTTTGAACCTGAAGAGGGGCACGGCGATCTAAACTTAGAATGGCTTTACACAAAACGTTCAAAGAACTCACTTTTTGGCGGGACAGCAATTTCAAATCATCTTATTGTAATTGTTTATAAGATTACATAGAGATCCGTTGGTGAAACAAATGTCTGATGTCTGGTTGATTTCAATTGCCTATTTGTGGATGATCCACGAATCCACGCCTTCGACACCGAAGACTCCACAGCGTGCACCGCGTCGACAGCTGCCTGCATTCCATCACTGTGCAGTATCAAGTTGGTATAGGAAAGGAATATAAATATGCGCAGATACAGTAACTAAAAATATTCTACATCAAGATCATTAAGATTATGTTCAACGTTCCAGCATCTACATACATCTTATTTTAAACATGTAGCTACAAGGGCTCCTGCTCCACAGTTTTCGAAATAATGTAAATGTATATGTATAGGCCTTATACTGCAAGCATCTGCAAGCTACATTCAGCAGGATATCTACAGCCAATTTCAGGTGGCAAACCCACTAAAAAAAATGCAACTGAGGGACATTGTGGAACTCCAGTTTAATGGCGTTCCTGACCTGTATTGAAATAGTTGTGTTTGTTCACATTCTCTTTCTTTTCTCATTTTCTGAAATGCCTGTGTGTGTGATCGTATCTGCTCAAGTGGTTAGACGAGTCTCAGCGTGGGCAAAGTTTGACAGTGAGATTGCCTATCAGGCTGCTTCACCTTTCCATATGGCCGATGTCAAAGTATTGTAGACAAGAAATAGCCCAAACCGTAAAACAGTTTCGCACACTAGGCACCATGGACAAAACTCCTAATAAGGGAAAGCAGATCCACTTGCTGGAAAAAGGGCGCTTACATGTCAAGACAGTTTGCTGCTGCTCACTGTTTTCGGGCGTCAAGTTCCGGTAATTGGGTAGGTCAGCAGGTGCGACAGCAAATGCCAAGACAGCTTCAAGCACGCCAGTTTTGAGCAGAAAATATATCAAGGCCCAGCAACATACAAGACAGACCTAGCCATGCACCAAGAGAGACCAGGGATTTGAGACGCTCCGGTGCTCCAGGAATTCTGGCTGGCTGCGGAGCTGGGATCACTTAATAAGTGAAGAATGAAGAAGAAACTGGGGCGGCAAACCAAAACCTAACGTGAAAACTTCACTGCCACAAGTTCCGCCAGAGGAGCGCAACACGTAAATATCAAAACAGCTTGTTTCCGGCCATGATGCAGAAACCTCATGACCCCAACATCCCTGACAAAACCATGGTGCCAGCATAAGAACGTGGCATGCTAAGGCCCTTTTTTGCAAGACTAAGCTTTTCGGTGCAATGGGGGCTGTCAGAAACACCAAAGAGTCACAGTGGCACCTCCGACGCCAGAACGCTTCCGGTCGTCTCTCGCGCCGGAAGCTCCTCGCAGAGCAGGGTCTGCGCGTCGCTGATGTCCAAGGGACCCGTGTCGGAGCCTCAGCTTGCGGGACTCCCCTTCACTACAGGATCTAACAATCTTAAATGAAGGACAATGGGGATTTAACCGACCAGAATTCTCATTTATAGATGATTTATGATAGCTGGTGAACTTAAGTCCAACAACTAAGTGGCCATTTCCGGAACCAAAACTGGAGGTAACTACCATATGTAGGTTCCGTATAAGGGCTTTGTCGGCTTTGTAAGGGGATATATTCTATATAGAATATGTGCTTTTTTTGTATGCTACGGCACCTCCAGTTTAGATACCTGAAATGACCATTGAATAACTAGCGTTTCTAACAATATACCTATTGTGGGTCTGAGACTCTCCAAAGGAATGTCTTTTGCTACGTTTTCGCAAAAGACCTAAAAGGATCTAAAAGGTATATGAAAGACCTTAAAAGGTAAACTGCTGAATCTGGGACCCAAGTGCCAAGGGATGCTGAGGAACCGAACATGGGCTTCTCACCAATTTAGGACCCCATTAGGATCCACTGGTGGTTTCCAGGGATTGAAATATTATTTTTCCTCTGCACTTCGTTTTTTTGCGCCTGGACATGTGAACACTCTGAGGAACAAAAACAAAACATAGTTTTTTTTTTGCGACGGACCAACCCGTGGACAAACCGTGGACAAACCGTGAAACGACATCAAAAAGTCGTGGAAAAACACAAAAAAGTCGTGGACGCGGGGGTCAAATATCCCAAACTGATATTTCTTGTGTGCTCAGCATTGATACCAAAATTCCATAAAATTCTAATGTACAGGATTGCCTGTTGGGTCAATGTGGGATCGTGCCCGAAACCTTGGAAATGTGTATATATTTACGTTCATGTTTCCTTTTTGCATTGGTAATATAGCTGACAGTCCGAGGGAGAAAAAAATATCGCATATAGCTGCACCGAGTGCCAGTTTGCAATCCAGTGGGACAGAAAATCGTCCTTTTCGAGGCATATGCCAAATATACCTTTTTTGAATCCTTGTGATGTCTTTTGTTACTAAAACAGGTCCTCGGTGAAAGACCCTCCAAAGCAAGGTCTTTTCACTTTAGGGGGTATAGTTAATGGGGTCCATAAACCAATCTGCAACGGGGGGCAAACCCTTGTAAGATTAGATGGAGATTACAAGTAGGAAAGGGATTATTATTTATGAACTATCACCCATAGATATACTGAGTGGCTTCGTTTGATTATACGAACTTGCTTCCATGGGGAGTTGAATGGGTATTTTTTGCATACCATATGCTTTACTACCCTAGCCCAATTTGATTTGCATCATCGAATATGGATTGAAATCATGGAATATTATTTGAGGGTATTAAAAACTATCTCCCAAAACGGGGGGTTCTTATTGCGTCGGTATTTGAGCGATCGCCCCTTTCGAAACAGCCTCCTGGAATGACAAGATAAAAATCTGGGTAGTTTGGACCGCAGTATTGACCATCATCCATGATGATTTCATTTGAGGTAGCTACAAATAAATGAATTCATGACACTATTTGTCCCTGTTGCACAGTGGATCAACAGGAAAATGGTGAGAAACTCTAGACTCTAGACAAACCCATACGCTATGATATGTCAATGATATGTGTTTGCAATATTTTTAATTCTTCTAAGGAACAAGAATTGTGATTGGAAATTTCACATTTTTGCCTATCCTCTGATAATTGATCATTTAACATGTCTACAGTAGCTATCGAAAAATTGCCCGTTTGCACAGAATTCAACTATCAAAAATGGTGATTTCCCAGTCATGCAACACCTTGCCGAGGTGTATATATAATTGTGCCCGCCAAGTGGCAGTAAGGATCTTCCCAGTCCCAACACCCGTCCCAGTCACCATTGGCATCAGCATCCTGAGCCGCTACAGCTGCTACAGCGGCAATGCCGCCGTCGGAGCACTTCTCATCATCCTGGGCAAAAATGGCGGCAATGGAAAGGGGGCAGAATAAAATGGGCATATCCGTTTTGTCATTTCTGTCCGCAAATGCCACATTGCCTTGGATTGCTTGCATTGATCTATGACTGTTGCATTGTCCCTATATCACCATATGTTTTGTGGGTGCTATGCAGGGTGCACCCAAGGTTCCTTCAGAGACTCGCCCGAAGCCTCCGGGGCTTCCTGGACATTTGCTGATTAAAGGAAGGCCAACAACCACCAGTGGGTGACTCTTCGGGGACACTACTATATATATATGTATAGTGTATATTTATAATTATATATATATATATTTATATTTATATTCACATATTCATCATATTGATAAATATTGATAAGGATGAATGTATCTTATATTAAATGCATACGACGAAGCAAAATCATGTGCTATGGCTTGTCTGAATCACGCCGGGCGCCTCCTTGACAGCGTCCGGTGGAACTGGTGCTTCTGTCTCCAGTTCGTCGTTCGCAGGCACCTCCAGGGGTAGAGTTTCTGCAGTTTCACCAGGCATGGCGACCTACAAGAAGTGGTCAGCAACATCCCCTGAAGGACACTCTGAAGTCTTTAAGATTTCTGTTGATGTTATTCCGGTGGGGCAAACTGGAATCCTGCTGTTTCCCGGTTCTTGGTTGATGTTGGTCCGGAAATGTGTGTCTCATCCATGTCGACATGACTATCAAATGAAAATTATGCTATATTTATACTAATTCCGCTATAGTTCGTTTGTTATATCCCGTTCTCTCGTAACATATACATATACGCATAGACATATACATATACATGCATATACTTATACATATAAATATATACATACACTTGTACATATAATTATAATTATATTTAAATATATCATATATATATATCATATATATATATATCATATAATCATGTATATCCTCATCAAAATCCCGGCAACCAACATGTTTCCAGCACATCCAAATTACGAAGCGCCAGCGGTCCTCGGTACGGCCATGGGTCTCCGTCTCCAGCGTCTCCACGGTCTCCACAGTCTCCACGGTCGCTGCATGGGGCTCGGTCCCGGTGTCCTGGGAGTGGAAAAGTGGCCCTAGTTTCAAGTACCCTCTGGTGAACTAACATAGCAATGGAAAATCACCATTTTTAATGGGAAAATCCACTATAAATGGCCATTTTCCATTGCTATGTTAGTTCACCAGAGGGTAATGTGGTGAATTATGGTTAATTAGTTAACTATGATTAATTGTGGTTGATTAGTTGGATTAGTTTCAACTATATAATATTCAATTATGGTGAATTAGATTCTTAATGGTGAACTATGGTTAAAATTTGGGTTTAATTTAATTCCACAGAACATAACCTATATAGTTTAACATTGCTTCACAATAGTTAATCATTGTAAACAAATAGGAGTATAGCCATGCCTAATTCTTAATTCCCACAATTAACATATAATATATATATTATATATATATTATGTATATATATATATATATATTATGTATGTACATATATATATATATATGTGTATGTACATATATATATGTGTTTAATCACGGTAAATTTAATATAATATATATTACTAAGTTACTAGGTGTATAATTTACAATGGATAAGTTATCTCACTGGATTGGCTTCAGGGAAACCTGCGGAAAACCATGATCTTTTTTCCAGCAGTTAGAGGGTTCCATGGGTGTCCTGTAATTTTTCTCAGGATCCACTTCCAGGATAATCTGTTTCTCCTGGTGACCTGATGAACCAGAAATCCTGGTTGGCTTTCTTCATGTGTGGTGGCAACCCTTGGGCGTTTCTGTCCACTTTCTCCCTTCAGGTACTGCATTCATGACAGTAAAGATTTCAGAAAAGTTGGTCCGTAGTGCATATAGTATTGTATAGTATAGTATCGCGTGACATGACGCGATATAGTATAAAATGCAATATAATGTTGATCAACAAAAAGATGGTCTCTGCAAAAACTATCTTTGGGATGCAGCTCAGCAAGTCCAAGCCCAAGGATCATAAGGATCTGCATTGTCGTCATTGGTGTCCCCCTCTGCAGTGTCGGGATCTATCCCGATCTCCTTGGGCAATTGGCCCCCCTGGGCAACCGCTTCCAGTGCCCCGTAAGAAAAACATCCAAAAACAATCCTGAACTGTACACAGTTCAGGGGTCCCAAGTTATCTTTTTCATTCTTTTTCCAGATGAACTGCCAATGAACTGGCCAGTTTCAATCAGTTTCATCGTGTTTTTAGCTGCTGAAATCGTAGCTGTTTCCGAACGATCCAAGACTCTGAGGTCTCTGTCTCTTCCAGCACCGGCTCCAACGGCTCCGGCTCCAGCGAAGCAAAGTCTGGGTCCTGCTGAAGGGGCTCCGGCGAAGCAAAGTGCGGCTCAACCTGCGATCCATGGTGAGTTCATGGTGATTCAATGACTAGTCGCATCATAGCTGGACCATCAAATCTAATGGTTTAAAGTTTATATAAACTAAAACCTTTAAAAAACTAGGGTTTCAAGTTTCAACCATCACAAAATTGGATTACTTAAGATGATGCAACACGATTTAACCATCAAAGAAGGAGAGATTTAAGCGTTTCAGCGTTTCAGGACCAAAAAAAACGAAGGGTAATAAGATAGTCTAACCATCCCCGGCAAACCTGTTAAACGAGAAAAAGGCACCCTTCAAAGAAGCTGTATCATGTTGTGCCTGTGTATGGCATTTCCTACCAAGGGATCGTACATACCGATTCTTCAACAACACCAAGGAACATCAAGGAACCCAAGGTTTAGCCATGTTTGGCCAGATCCTACTAGCAACTCCTTTGAAATGACTGGCAACTGCCATCTCGAGCGTTTTTACTTGCGAAGAGAATGGCAAAAGAGAGTTCTTGATTTCCAAAAATATTCTAGGCTAGCAACAGTGAGTGAGGGTTCCCCCAAAAATCCCTGGTTGGACTTTGTGGAATGAACTTCGCAAACAAAGGCTACCCTTTTGCTGTTTGCAAATGTGTTGCTTCTCTCCAAAACTCATGCGATGAGTGATGTGAATCATGAACTTTGGAATGATGATCAAAACCTCCTTACGTATCATAATGTATCACATATTTTCAATCATTTGCGTAGTTGCATTAATCTTCGAATATGGTTATGCCCGCCATCCCTCAATGACTCAATGAAATCTCCAATCGGCCCCACTGAACCATGATTCCCGCATGATCAAATCCACCCACCCTTGCACCTCCACCGGTGATTGCGTAGCACCAACCTGCTCTAGTGGCAACATTTGTGGGATTTCTCTGACGTCAAACAATCCCGCATCAACACCATGCATCCTTGGTGTGCCTATCTGATCCTGTTCTTGGGGATCCCAAAACAAGAAAAACATGCATACAGTATTTTTTGTCCTGTCCCAAAGGCATCCAAAGGCCAGATGTTGCTTATGTCCCCATGTTTGTTTCTGGTCATGATACCTCCCGATTCCGGCAAATGAAGACAAGAAGACAGCCAGGCGCCTAGTTCAACCTTCACACACAAAAATATCTAAAGAGTCCAATGCCTTGGACCGGCAAAAGGTGTTCTCCTTTGATATGCGATGTATTTACGGAGGATTATACAGGTAGCTGAACGTGTTCAGTAATAGTGTATCCATTTGATTCCACTTTTGGTTTAATTTGATTGAATTGGACTATCCATTGAAGGTCTCAGGCATGCAGCGGCATGCACGACATCCGTCTCACTACAATAGATGATGTCAACAGGGATCTTCTGATTCAATCCCGCTTTTTCTCCTTCCCTGGCCATTCTGAGTAAGGAATGACACCAAACCGTCTACTTGGGGGTGCATCCCAGGTACTATATAAATGATTTATAAACCATTGACATCCATTGACCATGTATACATATATATATATATATATTATAGTGCAAGGAACTGATGATGTTTCCATACATATCTGGCATAACTGATGATCTTTTCATATGTTTCCCTATTTTGTTTCATGACGTGTTCATATATAGTCAATTTTCAATATTTCCATGTATTGAGTTTTCAAAAATAGGGGTACGACTCTAAATATTTTAGGATTTTCCATTATAGACATCCATTTTGAGGACTCCATGTATGGAACCCCCCCATGCATATATATATATATATATGTTGAAAGCAGAGCCATGAGTGCATACTCCAGCAGGGGAACAGATGCATGACCGAGAGGGACCCTTCGCTCAAGCGGCAAAAGGCGCCCGTGCTCTTGCCCCTGGGAGGGCGATTGGTTTTGAGATTGGTAGCGGAGCCAGGCCATTAGGGCCTGGCTCCCGCATGTAGGGTAGAGCCATGAGTGCGTCGACGCCAGGTGAGTCGACTGGAAACCATAGGACGTTCAGCGGAAACGATGAGGATGCCAAAGAGTACCGCAGGTGGAAGACTTGGGCTATCAACAAGCTCCTCACCCTTGGAGATAAGATCTCTAAGGAAGCCAGGGGTGCCTATGTGTACACACTACTGCAGGGCAAGGCCTTGGAATGTGTCGAACATCTGGAGGTAGCTGATTACCAAAAGGAGGACGGGGAAAAGGTACTATTCAAACTGTTGGATCAGCGTTTTCCTCAGAAGGACAATACTGATGAGATGGCTGAAACACTGAGTGCTGTTTTCTCTCTACGTGCTGCTGAGGGAGAGACACTGAAAACGTGGATCAGTCGAGCTTCTGAAATGTTCGACAGGTGCCAACGGAAATGCAATGTAGCCTTTCCAGAAGAGGCTCGTGGCTGGATCATTTTACGACGATCCGGCCTCTCCGAGGAACAACAGGCGGTAGTGCTGGCCAGATCCCTGGGAGTTTTGAAACGTGAAGAAGTGAGCAAAGCCATGAGGTCATGCTACCCAGAGTACACTGTGCCGAAAAGGCGTGTTGGAGTGAGTCTTGTGGAAGACTCCAGTTCGCCTGAACTGCTAGGCGATGAGACCGAAGTCATGGACCCCAGCATGGAGTTTGATTGATGACGTGGAACAGTTGCTGGCTCAACACGACACACATGACGAAGATGCAGAACCAGAAGTGTATCCTGAAAATGAGGTAGCCGACATCATGGCTGTTTCATGGCGCGAGAAAAGGAAGGAGATCTCCAAGATGCAGCGATCAAGGAAGTTTGGGGCCGCGGCCGACCTCAAGCGACAGTTCAGAGTTGAGATTGAAGAAGTCAAGAAAAAGACAAGATGTCATCGCTGTGGCCGGATTGGCCATTGGAGCAGAGAATGCAAGATGCCTCGAACTGACCAGAAGGGAAACACTGCAACCTCTGGTGCATCAGGGTCTGGATCTAGTCGGAAAGACACAGGAATGGCCTATGTGGAGAACTTTGTCGCCTCGGTGATGGCACAACCCACAATATTGTCACAGTTACGACAGCGTGCAACTGCAGCGAGAAAAGTGATTGATGAGGTCTCTTTGTCAAATCAGGTGAATGAAGCTCTTTTGGTATCAAGCCCTGGATTTGGAGTTTTGGACTCTGGGTGTGGCAAATCAATTATGGGACAACAGACCTATCAGTCTTTTTGTCAGTTGTGGCGCGACCACAATATTCCAGTGCCTGAGCCGTATCAAGAGGTGAATCATTTTCGTTTTGGGAATGGTGAAAAAGAAACATCAGAATGGTCCATCAAAGCGCCTGTCGTGCTAGCTGGAAAGACAGGTGTTATCAAGGTTGCTCTGGTCAAAGGTGAGGCTCCCCTGTTGGTGTCACGTAAAGCTCTTCAAGCACTGAATGCCAAGCTGGATTTTTCCAAAGGTGAACTTACTGTGTTTGATGAAGAAGCCGTGATACCACTTCAAGTGAACCATGCTGGCCAGTATGTAGTTCCCTTGCTTGGGGAGACCGATGTCGCCTCTGAGAGCTTTGATGAAGTCATGGTTAGTGCTCCTGTGCCTCCGCTGCCTGAGCCTGATGCCTCAACCATGCATGATGATGGAGAAGCTGAGCAGCCCAATGATTCAGATCTTGCAGCCTCTTCAGGACCGGAAGACAATTTGTCAGAGTGGTCAGTTGAATGTTCTTTTATTCCCAAAGCCTTCACCACTGGAAAACAAGGGCTCAAATGGAGTAGTGTTAAACGCCGCATCATCACTGACATGGACACGGGTAAAGTTTTTGTTTGATGAAATGATTGATCATAGGATTGGCAAGAATAGATATCATCAACCTTTGCCTAAACATGTTTTGCACACCAGGTCACAGTTCATGTTCATTCCTGAGGAGAACCACCCCGCTGTAGCTGAGTGTCTGAGTGTACGTCATGTCCGACAATTGCATGCTCAGGTCAATAAGACAATTCTCCATGATGCACGTAAGAATTCCTCCAAAGAGCCACTGATGATTGCTGAAGTGTTTTCTCCACCAAGGTTTGCGCCAGTTGTCCAATCACAGGGAATGCGAGCTGTGTCTTTTGACCTCAAAAATGGATATGACTTTTCCAAGCCTAGTGTGCGACAGCAAGTGAAGCAGCAGTTGCGTGAAGACCCACCGGAACTCCTAGTCCTTTGTCCACCATGTACGCATGAGGGTGGTTGGTTTAACCTTAATCGATATACCATGTCGCCTGATGAGTTTCTCAGAAAGAAAGCACAGAGCCGACTGTTCATTCGATTTTGTTGTGAACTTTTCCAACAACAGGTTGAGCTAGGAGGACTGGCTATGTTTGAGCACCCACTGGGCTCCAAATTGTGGTCCTATCCAGAAATGCTGCGACTGCTGCGCAAGTTCACCACCGTCAGATGTCACATGTGCCGTTTTGGCCTTCGTCTGCCCGGTAGCCAGAATTTCATTCGTAAGGGAACACGCCTGTTAGTCAGTGACTCAAGCATGGAAGTGCTAGGACGTGAATGCCCTGGAAAGCAGAGTGTCCACCACCAATGCCATGACACTATCGCAGGCAGCCATCCTGCTGTAGGATCAGTCAGTCAATTCGCTGGTCAATACACCCCCGGATTTGTTGAAGCAGTGTTGGACACCGTCCCAGCATACCGTGAGCGTTCCGAGACTCTGGAGGTGATCGAAGTTCCACCCACTGATCAACAGGCTGAGAATGAAGTTTTTGCTGCCCGTGCCGATTTGCAGAGCACTGATGAAGAGGTGATCAAAAAGACTTTGTTCAAACTGCATCGAAATCTGGGACACCCTGCAAATCACGACCTAGTCCGAATTCTCAAACACGGACAAGCAAGTGACGATGCGATTAGGTTGGCCAAAGAGCTGTCTTGCGAGTTCTGCCAAGCGCGCATTCGGCCACATGTGCCACTGCCAGCACAGACCAGCCGAGTGACACAGTTTAATGAACAGGTTGGCATCGATGTAAAATACCTTCCTGGTTGGCGACCTAATCAAAAGATCAAGTCTCTTAACATGGTGGATCAGTCAAGCTGTTTTCAACAAGTTGTTCCTTTTTATGAGACCGAAACATCAGCACTGTTACGTAAGTTGTATGCCACCCACTGGGTTGCTTGGGCAGGACCTCCTAAGGAACTGATACTTGATCCAGCTCAGACCAACCTTGGAGAGAATCTTCAAGGACCACTGGAGTTTGAAGGAACCACAGTGCGACAGATCGCTGCAGAGGCACACTGGCAACTTGGCCGAACTGAAAATAATGGTGGTTGGTTTGCTCGAGTACTAGCCAAAGTAATTGATGAACATGCACCATCCAACCGTGAGGAATGGGAAGAATGTGTACGGCATGCCCATGTCAAGAACACCATGATACAAAGCTATGGATATACCCCACATCAACATGTGTTTGGAGTTAACCCTAGCATTCCTGGTGATCTTTTGAGTGAACCTTTGCATATAGTTCCAGCCACAGCTGGCCTTACTGAAGATGCTGTAGCAAAAGCACAAGCCATTCGTCAGTCAGCCCGTTCGGCAGTGATTCAGTTGCAGGACGATAAGTCACTGCGACGTGCACTAGCAGCAAGACCCCGAATGGCTCAAGTGTTTCAGCCTGGCAACCTGGTAGCGTACTGGCGTCGACAGAAGTTGCAACAAGGTGAGGTTCAACAAGGTGGACGCTGGCATGGCACTGCAGTTGTGATAGGATATGTTGGTAGGAACCTCATCCTGGCACACAGGAAGCAGATCTTTCGATGTGCACCCGAACAAGTGAGACCAGCCACCACCGAAGAAAGGACTCTGATTGAGTCTCCACAAATGGAACTTTTGGGGATAAAGGACCTAATAGAAGGGGGTACTTTTAGGAGTCACCAATTCATAGATTTAGTTCCTGGACACTATCCCACTGTTGAACCTGCGACTGCCAGTCATGCACCAGATGCATCCGGTGACAGCCCAATGCAAGAGGCAGGAGAGCCAGTCCAGCCCGAAGTGATTGATAAGAGTCCTGCTGATAGTGTTTTGCCACCTCAAGCTGCAGCCACCGATGCACCACAAAATATGGATGTTTCTCCTGCCATAGACAACAATGCTCCTGCGTCTGGTAGCCAGTATGGTCCAATTCGTCGCCGTGTCACTGGAAAGTCTGGAGATGCAACCATGTACAGACCACCGGCCATGCGACAAGAAGACTTTGCTGAGATCATGCGAGAGGTCGTTCCACATCTTCTTCAAGAAAATTTTGAAGCACCACATACAGGCCAGAAACGTAGCCATGAGAATGAAGGCACTGAAGAAGTTGTTGAACCAGCAGCCAGTAGACCTCGAACTAGCTCTCCAGAGCCAGCCCAGACTGCAGAGTCCGCTGCAGAACACCCAGCGTCAGCCGTAGCTCATGAGACTTCTAGCATGTGTGAAGA